CAAAATTTAATGTTATAATAATTGGTTTTATTATTCAGTAAAAAATAATTATTGTATTTTATTTTTTTCTTTTAAATTGTTATTGAGAATGATTTTATTTGTATTTTTTTTTACTCTTGTTTAGTTTGTACATTTTAAAATTTCTAATAAATTTTTAGGGTAATTAATTTTGTGAAGTTTTTTGAATTCATTATTTTTTAAGTTAATAAATTTCTGAATTTCTGTATGAAATTTGTCCTTCAAAATTTTTTAGACAAAATTATTATTTTTTTAAAAAAAAATATTTATAAAAATAATTTTATATTCTAACGAGCCAATTTCGAGCCGAACACGAACATGAAAATATTATTCGAGTCAAACACGAACACACTGTTCACGAGTCATTTCGAACACGAGTCGGCTTTTTTACAACCCTACTACCGCATGAGGCGTTGATGCCTCCTCCTTTGTCGACTCTTCCCTTTTCACGGGATCCTCGCGCCTTCACCTCCCTTATGTTGACCACACGGTCCATGCTCGATTCGAACACAACTCGCATGATCTCTCCTCTGTCGAGCACGCCGACTTCGTCGCCAGAATTGCACGCGTGCAAATAGCCCTGGCTTGCAGTTTTCTGACACTAACCTAAGCTCTACTCGCTAGATCCCCCTCTCCTTACCAAAGTCGCTCAATGTTGCAGTAAGTCCACTACAACGTTTTATAGGAGAACTCACCTCCTTGACTTTCGAACCTTTCACTTCACCTCCTCCCTCTATTCGATTTTTCGTCTCCTCACTTCTTCAATTATTTATTTTCTCTTGCCCCTCTGTTGGAAGCATCGATTCCTCTCCCGGGTAATTAAAACAATAGGCCAGTACTGTGTCGTCCAAGAGATCCTTGTGGATCTAAGGTGGATTTTATTTGAAAGAACAAATTTCAATCGACCTCAGCTAAAAAAAATTTCTGCCAATCAAATGAATCCTAGGGTCCATAGTTCAAATGATAGAAAGTCGTTGAAGAATATAATGACTGCAGTCGTCAATATAATATAATAGTGTCATTTGGTAGAAAATCACACAGTCAGAGAACTCTAGTCGTAACCAATCTTTTTGTTAATTCGTTGGTTCAAGTAACGCGGACAAGTGACTCGGGTCACTTCCTTACTAGCGTGAGATTGCATTGAGTGTGAGTATAGCGATACACTTAATGTGACATTTATTCTTTGTGAGCAAAAATCAATTTAAAATTTATGACCCTCATCAAACTATAACATATGTTATACGGAGTTTGATTTAAATTTTGATGTGATTGATTTTAACTTCAATATTTTGATTTGTTTAACTTAAGCCTTTAGGTGATTGATTTTAACTTAATTGTCTTGCTTTGCTATTTTTATAACTTAGATTTTAAAATTAATTTAAAAGTTGACCTCTTCAGTTGAGATTTTTAATCGACACGGCATCATCGGAGATTCAATTACTTGATTTAAACCATGCTAACTTTACTTTTTTACTTGTAAAAGATTGAGCTTAATACAAACATATATTTGTACATGCACTTTGTCAACCCTTTTCTACATACTTTTAAATTTAACTTTAAAAATAAACCACTCGGTCTCCAATTTATATTCACGATCAACAAGGTCATCATGGGAGATTTTATTGCTTTATTTGAACACATGTGACTTTACTTTTCGCTTCTAAAAGATCAAACCTAATAAGAAAATATATTTATACATAAGCATTGGCTCTACCTTACAGAGAATCGAATATATGATTTGAATTTATTCGAGTATACTTTTAAATTTAACATTAAAAATAGACTCCTCTGGTTGAAATTCACAATCAACACGGTAATCATGGAGGATTTGATTACTTTATTTGAACCCTGGTGAGTTTACATCATGCTTGTAAATAATTGACTTTAACATTGACATGTGATTCAACACTGAAACCGTGTCGATGTTGTTTTATTTACAGAGAATCGAGTTCATGAATTAAAAAGTTTAGATTTATACAGATATTTGTGAAATATTTATTAAAAAAAACCTCGGTTGAAATTTTCAATCAACTCACCATCATCGAAGAATTGAACATTTAAAAACACTTATGTTAGCAATTTATTTGAAAGTTTGTCACTTTAATATATTTAAAACATTAACTTTGTCAACTTCAGTCATTAATAGGAGGAGAATAAAACTAGGTGATTTGAACTTCCAAATTTTTATATTTATTATTTGGGTGTTATTAAATTTCCTAGAATCATCGACTCCTTAATAGAAGAATCAAACTAATTGAGTGAGACTTGCAACTATGTCCTATAAACAAAACAATTTGATTGAGAGCATGCTTAGTTGGATTATATTGAATTTGATTTCAAAAGATTTAATAGCTTTAAGATAAGCACGGACCTTTTATTAAAGAAATTTATACACTTCCCAAAATAAGAGCAACTTGAGTGAAAATTTCATTTGCATTTTGTCAATTTTGTGGAGCACGTGCGAGTTTTATAAACTTAATTTTTAAGTTAAGCCACGCAACATTGTCAGATTATTGGTTAAAGTACTTAGCACTTTAACTAGAGCACACACGAGCGTTCAATTTCATATATTCAAACAATTTAAAAATATATGCATGTTTTTTTATTGATTTGCGCATTTATTAGAACAAGATATTTCAAAATAGTTTCATATTAAACCGCATAGCATTCTCAAAACAAACGAATCTAATCACTTAACATTATCTTCGAATCCAACTATAAGATTTCTAAAGAGAATAAATAATTTCAAACATCTCATTTGCATAGAATTTCAAAGGCTAAGAAAATAATTTCAAAGGTAAATACAAGCCCCAAAATTTCTAAAGAGTATAAATGTCTTATTTGCATAGAAGCCTGAAGTCCTCTGAATTGCACAAATCTTAAAATACTTAGGTAAACTCAAGAAATCACTTTCTACTTCAATGTCGCCTTACAACTCATTAAGTCGTAAGGTTATTTAAAAATTTATATGAATATTTTATCTTTATAGTGTGCCCAAAATCCCATTTTGACTTTTTCAGAAGACTACCTCATATTCGCTAGTAAGTATGTTGTGAATCCAAGTCCAGTAAAATCATATTTTGATTTTTTTTAAAAGGCCAACTTCTGTCTGCGTGGAAATTGGACTTACATATTCGGTAGCGAGAAGGAATTTTAAATTTTTATTTTAGCAATTAAAAATAACATTTATGTTTAAGCTTAGCCCTAATTTATGATATTTCATATCTAAGTTATCTTACAAGTTCAAATATTACATTTTTAAGTTATTTTCTCCCAACTTCATCCCTACTTAGGGGGTTGCATGGGGTGTCTAGCTTACCTAACTGTCTGTTAAATATGTTGGTCAGTTTCGTGAGACACTACAATCATAAAGGGAGACCTTTAAACCATTGATTTATAAGACATATGGTACTTCGACGAATCTTATCGGTATCTTAAGCAGCTCACGGATACCTTCACAAACCAAGAAGATTTGGGCTTTCATTGTAGCAAGTGGGTATACTCTTCTATTTCTATGGTTAATCTCGATTCTCCCACTGAAATGAACTTTAAGGCCTCATAACAAGTAGATTTCATGGGGAAAACCCATTCCAATGTCAACAAAAATGTCATGTATCAGGCACATCAGCTTGTATGAAGACTTCAGACCATAGATTAGCCATGGTGCGGAGGGAAATCACGCTGTTCTTTTCTAGGTTATGTATGTTCTTCTAGAGATATTGGAAGACTTTATGCTGCTGCAAATCTTATCCATTGCACGACAGCTTTGACAAGGTCTAGGTTGAGGCTACAACAGCCCAAGAATTCCTCAAATTTATGCATCTTCTGCTTCCAATGATTTCATCCATGGCACTCACCCCAGAGCAATAGCGCTGAAGGAAATTCCTTTACAAGTATGAAGAAGAGACAAAGCAGAAAGTGTCAAACCCAACAGAAGAATCGAGTGGCTCTGTAGCGTGTACAGGTGAGTATAGGAGGCTTTGGAGGTCTTTGTACATCACGATCCAGTTGTTGCATTCCCGCAAACTCAAATCGCAATTGTATTGCAAAGCCAGATGAATTGGGATTCAAGCCAATGGATGGGTTTTATGGGTTATAAGAGACCTGCGAAGGAAAAAGATTGGAATTTTGGACTTCCTTGGATGCCGCAATCTCGCGCTGGCTTTTCCTACAAGTAATAGTTGTGCTTGTATTGCAAGGAAAATAGCACATAAGAAAAGAAAGATGGGAGTTCAGAAGGTTTTTTGTATACCAAAATCCATCATTGCTTTTCCGTTGGAACTAATTGTGACCGTATCACAAAGGCAGCCAAAGGCTTCGGTGAGGCTGCGAGCAGGAGAGAGTAGAGGGTTGGGGTTCCAGTTCGGTTTCGAGCCTAAAAAATAAAAATTTTAAAATAACTCAACGAAAAAATTTGGCGTTTGATAATCTATGCGAGTGTCGAGTGGAAACTGTTTTAGAAATCAAATGAGAGTGGGAGCAGTTTTAGAAATCAAATGAGAGTGGGAGCAGTTAATATTTTAAATTTTATTTTATTTTATCTTATTCGGTCAACAAATATAACGAAAAACCAACACCAAAAACTTGTTTAACCTGAACTGGAAGGGTTAATGAATCATCAGTGTGTGGTGCAAAGCCCGCTGAGTAGGTTAGCAATATTTCCATTACCATTTTGACAATTTTATAGTTGTTTGATGATGATTTCAACTGAATAACTTATCAGTCAAAAAAAGCACAGAGCAATACAAAAGCAAATCAATCAAAAATCATTGGTGCAAAAGCAAAAAAAAAGTTTTTTACCCTAAATGCAAATGAAAGAACATAAATAAATGTGTAAGCAAATTCCAACACATGCCTAAAACAGGTTTAAGCCATGCTTGACAGCTTAAATGTATGCATTCAACACCAAATAATTTCAGCCACATGACGTAAAAGAAATCATCTGAAAAAAAAAATTAAGGAAAACAAAGCTAATAAACAACCTGAAAAATAGCCGGCTCCAACGCTACTTCTTCAGCTTCCAAAGATCCACCAGAAGGCAGATCATCATCAAAGGATATTATATTCGCAGAGGCCACTTCCAAATCCCCACCTGTATAACAGAAAAGCAAGGTCACCAAAACACAGAAAGCAAAGCTATCAACAAAAAGGAAAAAGAAGGCTCACGCCACTATTAAAAGCGTTAAAGCTCTATGATGAACAAAGTCACCACCTACTCAATTTGCAGTCTAAAATAATTAGAAGCAAAATTTACAACCATAAAAAATTTAACAAGTGAATACATGCTTCAAGATAAACTACGCCAGTTCAGATTCAAATTTAAAAGAATGCCACTATTAAAGGGAGAATTAGATACATAACAGCCTAAACTTTGCTATTTATAAAATAACAACAATTACAATCATTTTCCAAAATCTCACTCAAATATCAAAATTCATAATAAAATCCATATTTTTCCTTTTTATCAAATTCCCAATGATTTCATTGTGACAAAAGTACACACATTGGCTTGGAGTTCTAAAAATTGAACTAGTAGATCATTTTGTAAATAGCAATATTTCAGGTGCTATGCAAGTAATTCAACCTAAAATAATATCTAAAAGGCTGCCGAACCTTAAATCACAAAAAAAAAACAGTGAAAGCCAAGATGCATTAACTGGAAAATATAAATGCCAAGAACGCACTCCATAATTACCTTCAACAGTAAATAGCATAACATTTACAACACATTTTATTTTTTTACTCTTTTTTTATTATTATTATTTTGGTAAGTCCAGTTGAATTTCTAAAGAGACATATTTTGTACTCAAACACATACTCGAAGCAACGGAACACAGAAAATTCACAACTTCTAAGGAGTTTAAAAATGATCCTAAAACAGTTTAAGGCATTCTCTTAATCTGACAGGGCGGATTAAAAAGACGCAAAATCTAAATATAATTGTCCTGGAAGTGCACCAACGTAGAACAGGTTCAGGGCAAAATTAATTCATGAGATAAAAATGACTACAAAGCGTTATAAAGCTTCAAAAGAAGCCAATATTATAATGGATAATTATGTCGTGTTTCATAATAAACACAAAATAACAGGAAAAAAAAATACAAAAACATACCAACTTTCTGAGCCTGACCTGCCAAAGAAATGCTTTCACTTTCATCAATATTTTCCTTGATTTTGCTTTCATTACCTGTTTCTTCATCCTCGTCATAATCTTCTTCATCAAAAATAGAAGCTTTGCTGTTTAAAGAAGAAAAAAATGCATCTGAAGAGAAGAATTCTTTTCTTGGCAGCAAATGGTCTTCTTCTGTGGCTGCCTGTATTTCTGGCCCATCATATTGCTCATCAATATCCTCATAATCAATGGCATCTTCAGCCTTCTCGTCAAAATCTGCAAGACAAGAAAGAAATTCAACCACAGGAATCGAGAATACAATGCCAGAGTGTATGAAGTTGATCATGATCATTTGAAGTTACATTGATACAGTGAATCAAGAAAGATATTATTCGCATAACTCCAAAGATTCAAGCAAACTGAATGCTTCATTACCTTTCCAGACCCATCTAGTAACTAGCTGCTAGCAATTAGAAGCCTCCTCCAACAAGACAACGATTTGCCTGCTCGAGTAAACACATCTCTTTTCTAACTTACAGCAGAAATCTTTTCAAAAGTCTTTACACAATTGCAAGGAAGGATTTCTCTAGTAGAAAAGATTTTCAGAACCTATCATTAACTAGTGATGAACGTATTAATTCTACATGAAATGATGCAGAGTTTCAGAATTATACTTGCTGTCAAACATGAAGTTGGTGCTGAGATAGACATTTTACTTTTAACATTCACTAGAATCACAGGTAGTCGTGTTAAATCTATCAATCAGGTCGGTTAGGAGCCTGTTAAAAATGATGCTACAGGAAATAATCAGAACATACTATAGTATATGTACTAATCATAAGGTTCATGACATGGGAGCTTTTCCGCACAGTTTTCTTGCACTGCTACAGTACCACAGAAGATGGGAGATGGGCTGCCGAAACAATCTTGTTTTCCTTTCTTATGTTCTCTTCATTCCTTTTTAGTTCTTGTATTAGGGTTTGGAAGTAAATTTTTTATTGTTTTCTGTCAGTACAGCGCAGGCTTCAAGTTTTTATAGTTCCAGGGCTGTATTTGAAGGTGAGGAAGTGCTCCGGTTATAACTCATCGAAGGTGGTGACGGTCTCACAAGGAATGATTGGTGCTCCGGCTAAAGGTCTTTCGCTCCTGCACAGATATTTATCATGTTTCCCCCATCCAGCCACCAACTCCATCATTCCCCTCTCCTCATTGTTGCTGCTCTCCCAACCACCTGCTTCGCCGTTTTTGCAATCGCAGTCCCCACCACCGCTACCTCAGCCCTGCCACCCCTTCCCTTTGTTGTTCTACTCCAATCCTGACATCCAACATCACTGTTGTAGAGATACAAACCCTTCCCTCGTTGTCTAGCCATCTGATGACACTACTGCAGCCCCACTACTCCACTCCTTGCTTTCGTGAGCTTACCGACCTTTCCAACGCCTTAGGCACCACCTCCTGCTGCAGCCACCTCACCATATCCTGTTGTCGCCCACCTTCCTGACAACTGACTGCCAACTAGAGTCGTCTTTCGTTGCCTTCCGACCATTCTCCCACTTCCATGAGTGTTTTTCCTCCTTAAACCACAACACAACCACCCTCGACCTAAACCCTAATTGAGTTTGTCATCTTTTGATATTTCCTAGTTTCGAATTTTTTAGTGTCATTGGTTGTAAACCAAATTTGATTTCATTAAAAAAAAAGTTGAATTTTCGCTATTATTTGGGTTAACTCATTTATCATTTAGTATCAAAGTTAGTCTAACTCTAGTCATATCCTAGAATTTCAATCCCTCCAAAATCATCCCTGAAAGTTTTCTTTTCTCTCCACCTTACACACCTCTTTCCACCGACATATAACGGCTACTTCATCGAGTGCTACATTAGCTCGATGCCATTGAAAGAATAACACAAGACGGGATCCTCGTCGGTCGTAATAGTGAAATCCATGAAAGAGAGCAAGAAGAACACATGAATCCCTTCCATACAGATGATACCAATGGATGAGAAGGCAGACCATAAAGCTTTGGGGAATAGTATCGATCAAGGCCTCGAGCTAAAGTGTCTATTACAAGATACAAAGATCTGGAAATGAATGTTGACCATCATATTTCAAGGGGAGAATGGATTCATATGATTTCCTCGATTGGATGTAGATTGTTGATCGGATCTTTGAATACAAGTAAGTATCTGATGACAGAAGAGTGAAACACACCGCCATCGAGTTGAAGAAGAATGCATATTTGTCGTGGGAGAACCTGGAGATGGAGAGACAGAGAGAAAGACAAGACAGAATTACTTCTTGGGAGAAGATGAAACGGGAGATGCGGCGAAAGTACCTGCTCCTGCATTACCACCAGGATATTTTTTAAAACTCCACTGCCTGCAGCAACAGCTATCAAAGGAGGAGTACACAGTAGAATTTATGCAGCTTAAGTAGAAGTGGGAGTCGAAGAAGACTGAGGAGCACACCATAGCTAGGTATTTGGGAGGCTTGAAGCCCGCCATCATTAATGTGGCCCGCTACAACCCTAGTGGACACCGAGGGACGAGCAGACTTTGGCACTTAAAGTGGAGAGATCACACAAATAAAAACAACAACCACCGTCAATCAGACAGCCACCCACAGTTGGAGACTTTAGGAGGACCGCGTGCAGTAAATGGAGTAGATTGGTCAGAAGCAGGACAGAACCACTTAGAGTGAGAAGAAAGTTGAGAATAGTAGCATGCCCACTACATTCCTAACCAATAAATGTTTTAGATGTAATGACTTTTAGACATCGCTTTCAGCTGCTCGACGAGCTGAGTTGTGACTTTCACCTAGCAAGGGACAGTAGAAGAAGTAAGCGACGAGGAAGCAACTGCAGAAAAGAGTGAGGAGTATCAACTTTCACGAGATGAGGGTGAGATGCATGTAGTTCTACGAGTACTTCTTCGCCAAGAAACATTATATGCTCGTTGCACTGTGAAGGGAAAAATATGCAACAACATCATCGATGGAGGTAATAGCAATAATGCGGCGTCAGCACCGATGGTGGACAAGTTAAGCATCACGATTGAGACATCCTCAGTCATATTCCCTAATATGATTTAAGAAGGAGAATACTATCAGCATTGAAGGGAGGTGCCTCTGAATTTTCAATTGGATGTCAGCTGCAGGATCAGGTTTGGTGTAATGTGATGTCCATGGATGTCTGTCACTTTTTGTTGGAAAAATTATGACAGTATGATTGCAAGACTCAACAAAATGAGTATAAGAACACATACTCATTCACCAAAGATGGCAAGCACATAGTTTAACCTTTTGTAAAGTTCGATATTACAGGTGTCCATGCCAACAGAGGCATAGCGAGGATCGCCTTAGTGATGGCAGAGGGGCGAGAGAGAAAAATCGGTAGTAGATACAGGACAACAAGTACTGAGAGAGCTTCAGGATACCATGTTCGCTAGCTTATCAACCTAACCGCCTTCATCCAGGGAGATTTAGATTGTCCTCACCTCGAGTTAGGTTGAACCAATCTTGGGTTGCTTTTGAAGAATTCAGCAGAATGCACTTGGCATGGAATCCTTGTTCAACAGAGCAGGGTAACCCCAGATAGTTGGACCAATATGGATATTCGCTCTCAAGTGGAAACTCCTCAAGTGCTTTGGGGACGGTGCAATCGTTAATGGCATCCAAGTGCTTCTCGGAGCGCAGTTGAAGACCTGTCCACCAAAAGAAATAATAGTAGTTATGCTACTTTAAATGGGTAAACAAAAGCTTTAACGACTGATGTCGAAGCTCTACCAATCTCGAAAGATTGACAGAAAGCTTCCCTACATAGTTTTCTAGCGATACTATAAATCTTATAGTACGGCGAGAATATATATTGCAGGAGAAGGGAGACAAGTTGTCGAAGCAGTCATGTTTTCCTTATGTTTTCTCTTATATTATCTTTCATTCAATTTTAGTTATTTCTTATATATGTGTTGAATTAAAGCTTGAAAGTTAGTTTTTGAATTGTTTTCTGTCAGGACAGGTGTCGGCGTCCATGTTTTCTAGTTCCAGGGATGTATCACGAGGTGAGAAGGTGCTCTGATTATAACTCATCTGAAGTGGTGAATGTCTCCCAAGGGACGAGTGGTGTTCCAGTTATAGATTGCTCCTGCGAGGATATTTATCATGTTTCCCCCATCCAGCCGCCAACTCTATTCTTCCCCTCTCGCTGCAATTGTTACTCCCAACCACATGTGTCACTGCTTTCGCTGTCCCAACCGCCACTGCTTAAGCCCATCCACTCCTTCCCTTAATAGTTCTACCCATGTCCCGCCATCCAACATCACCGCCACAACCCTATACAAGCCCTTTCCCTTGTTGTCCTATTGTCGTTGAGCCATCCGACGATGTTACCGCAGCCCCACAACTCTTCTTCTTTTATTTACGTACGGAGAACGCACGCAGCTCTACGTGCGTAATCCCCTCCCAATAACCGCTCAATAATCTCTGCGAAAATTATTAGGGGGTTATTGCGGAGTTATTTCGGCATTATTTGCAGTCAGTACCCTCTGCGGTTACACTTTCACATTTTATCTGGTGTTAGGGTATTGACTCCAAATAACGACGAAATAACTCCACAATAACCGCCCAATAACTTTCGCAGAGGTTATTGAGGGGATTATGCACAGAGAGTTGTGTGCGTTCTCCGTGGGTAAATATTTACCGTTGTCGTGAGCCTACTTGGTCCTTCCAAAACCCTGCCACCTCATCCTGTTGTTTCCACCTCACATATTTTGTTGTCACCCACCTTCCTGCCATCCAATAGCAAATAGCAGGCGTCCCTGCTGCCTTCCACCCATCCATGTGTAATTTTTCTCCCTAAACCACAACATCACCAACCTCGACCTAAGCCCTAATTGAGTTTGTGTCGTGTCTTTTGCTATTTTCGAGTTTCGAGTGTTTTTTGTTGTAATCACATTTTGATTTCAGGAATAAAATTGGCACTTTCCCCATTAATTCGGTTAACACCAGTATCAGTTTGTTAGAAACACTGTTACTTAAAAAAATGTAAGATATGATCAACAATGTCATTCTTTGTTTGATTTTGAAAATCAGCATAACATGTGCTCAAGCAAATGTCCTATGCACAACCAACGCAATAATGGATAAAAAAATAATGGCATTAGTTCACATAATTGAGTCAGGCCTCTGATATTCACTTAAAGATTATTTCAGAAATTTTGTTATTTTTTTTAATTCTCATATGATTTCCTGTAATATAGATAAGAGAGCCAAAATTTCAA